CTGGGGGCGAAATTTCAAAGCATTCTGAGATGCTTCACCCATTTTGTCCGATAGTTAAAAAAAAAAAAAAAAACTTCACGTCGTCCCCGTTTGGAAAATACCCATATCGTAAGATAATGACAGTTTGTCTAAAACCGATGGCTGCCATCATGGATTTCCGAATGGCGTCGAACATTGTTTTCGACCTCTCACCCATGATCCAAAAATACTCACATTGCACAGCAACATCCTATATGACCGGGCTTTCGAGACAGCATATTCATGAAGTCTGCATGCTTACTGGCGCTGCGTAGTAAGAGAGTTCAGTATTAATATGACCAGCACCCGAAAGGACTTGGTCACCTGAACAACTTTACTAAAGGTAGCAACTTTCTACGTGGCCTGGATCTCGAAATACAGTTTATAAAGGAAGTTCATGTGCACACTGGGCCCACTTATTTATAGAGTTCGGAACTAAATGACCAGCACCCGAAAGGACTTGGTCACCTGAACAACTTTACTGGGACAGTAATCATCTATACGAGATGCAGCTTATACATTGACGCCGCATAGTAAGAGAGTTCTGAATTAATATGACAAGCATCCGAAAGGACTTGGTCACTTGAAAAACTTTGCCTAATACAGCAGCTTTCTACATGGCCAAATTCCATTTATCATAGCGCTCATTATAAGTAATATGAAAGTGGTCTAGCCCAGTACACCATCTTTGTCGAAGCAATACATAAAAATCAAATGAGATAATCCACCACTGCCTCTTATTAGTGAAAATCCCATAAGCTGTGGGTATCCTTATTCGCGGATAACCCGGCAACAAGGATTCCTGACTTATCTTCACCATCAACCTCAACATTTTCAGATCGTGGCGGTCATTATGTGCGATACCGGCATTGCCCTGCTAGCCTACATGGACGGAATTACGGGTAGCCCGACGTTGGGCGGAGTAGTACTGGCAGCACTGGCTGCCGCCGGCTACGCAGTATTTAAGGTAACTAGCTCTGCTGAAGCAGTTCATCAGTGGCACGGGCAGTCAGCACTCAATTTTCCACCCTGCGTTTAGGTTATGTTTCGTAAGGTGATGGGCGATCCTCCAGTCGGGCAAATTGCATTCACTTTCTCCATCATTGGCTTTCTGAACGCGGCCATCCTGTGGCCGGTTTGCATCGCGCTGTACTTTACCGGTGCCGAAGTGATGCCCTGGGATACGCTACCGTGGATCGTGCTGCTAATGGCCAGCATATTGTTGCTAGGTGAGCGTCGCCGTCGCCTCCTTTGATCGATTGAACTGTTTTTTTTTTATATTTATCTTTTCTCTCTCCCCCTTCTTGGTTCATAGTTTTCCACATCTTGACGCAGTTTAGCAGCGCCGTTACGTACAATATGTTCGTTACATTAGGTTTAATTACGGCTGTGCCAGTGTCGGCAGGTAACAGATACTTGTGAAACTGAAGATGTAGTTTTGGGTGGGAGTTGTTGACAAAATTAAGTGACTAATTGGTGTTTCCAACTTTTTCTTCCCCACACACCCACACACAGCATTAGACATCGTCCTGTATGGAGCGCAATTTGCCGGAATGAAGCTGGCGGGTATTATATTAATATCCGTTGGCTTCTTCCTGGTCATGTTTCCCGACAACTGGCCCGACTATATCACACGGCTGCTCAGGTAAGCTCGCCCAGAATTCCAATTTTTGTACATCTTCCCTATCGACTTACTCACACAGAGATATCGAGATCTGTTCAATACAAAATACAGACCACCAATAATGCTCCAATTATTGCAAATTTGGCAAACAGTCATACGAAAACACTTGGAGCCACCATAGCATAGACGCTTTTCAACAGAAATTAATTACTCCAAATTTTTCAAACTCCAATTATCGCTTTTTGTTCCGTTTTGATCAAAAATGAGTTTGTTCGTTACATTTATCGTCTTCTTTTCCTAGCCTTCTCTACCTTATTACGATAATACTGAAGAGAACCGCCAGAAGCAACCTACCTGAAAAGAAGTCAACGGTCGTTCTCCTCTTCCTAGTTTGTTACGAAAAATAATTCATAATTTCACAATCATTTCATTTTACTTTTGTTCGCCTTCTGCTTTATTGAGTATCAACAAAAAAAGCAATAGATGAATGTGATTTTTGGATGACCTTCCTTCAAGCATTTCGTTTCTCATTTTTGCCAGTCTTAATTAGCTAACCAACGACGGAAACCATAATGTACAAGCCGAAAAAGAATCGTTTTGTTAACCTTGATCGCTTGCTACATGATCTATACTTGCTTGTCAAACATTGAACATCGGTCGTAGTAAGCTTTTGGAGCTTGTAATTTTTTGTTTGCCGTGTTTTTTTTTATTATTGGAATGCTAGACAGTCTATCTTGATTTTCTCTTAAAAAAACAACATGAATAAGCCCAAATGTTTACATTACCCCAAACAAAACAAAAAATGAAACCAACTCAAATTTGTGTTTGTGTTCCCCTGACAAATTACAGAAAAACTGGTCGTGCATTGCTAAGAAACCGTTGTTGTCGCGATTCCGCTGACAATGATTACGAAAATTCGGTAGGAAAAAAAACATACCAAGTTTCAAAATCTCATTTCCTCTTTTCTTTTCCTCAATCGAAACCTTAGAACATTGAAATCCGATTAAACAAAGCTCCTCCGCATATAGTTCATCCTGTATTGTGATTTGATTTCCATTTTCATTTCCGAACCCATTCCATTGCTATTTCTATCTTCTCTATTTGAACTCCTATTTACTTTGTGCAATTCAATCGATTTATGCCATCATCGGGTCGCCGTAACACGTAAGAACTGTGGTGTAGCAAATTAGGCGTTCATCTCCTTTCTTTAGTTGTTTTCATCTTTCCTTCAATTGATCTTAGGACTAGATTTTTTTCTACACGAACGTACCAAGCGAAACATGTTGTTCACAAAAAGTTTTGTTTAGATGATAGAAACTTGAAATTGGATGCACTCAGAGCAGGATCTGACAGAACTCAACGTTACAACATGTACCATTTCTGTAATTTAGTAGACACACATAAAAGCTACCCTTAAAGTTGAAAGATCTAGCTATCAGTTAATGTAGGTTTGATTTGTTTACTGTTTTTTTTTATATGCTACATAGTTTACTTATAATCACTTTAACAAAGCGTACGACTCTTTCATTTGCAAACTAATTTAGCATAAGTCGAAGAAGATCATTGTCTCATTGTTGAAAAACAAAAGTTAACAGTTAGAATAAGTAGAATTTCATTTGCCAAGTTAAATTTCACCTGGAGCAGTGCTGTCACTGTAAATTTAAAGCTATGTCTGAAGGCACTTATAATACAAGTTGACCACAGTCAGTGGCTTTCTTCTGAAAATGAAGACAACCTTAACAGATAGACCAACTACCTGCGTGCATTTAAATTTTGTCATAAAAACATTCTCTTGATCAAGGCAACCTCTGAGTATCGAAGTCCACATTTGTTTTTGTTCATTAGCGGTTGGATGTTATTATCGCCTGTGTTGTTGTCAATATTAATATTCGTCTTCATCTTGGTGGGGATGATTTTGAGGATCAAATGCAAAATGATTATTTTCATTTTACACAAAAATAGCGCTATAGAACGTACTGTGTTGGTTTTTACGCACAGATCGATGGATAGTCATTGCCTCATGCTGAATTGATGATAATATGGAGGTTTTCGGTTCTGGGGTTGACAATATTCAAAGTAATCATTTTTCTCAACCTGAATTTCATTATTTTGCTTTTGAGAATCGCGTCTGATTTTCACAATTACCGGACGCACCATCGCAAGGACCCGCATCCAAGCACAAGTAGCTGTATCGGCAGTTGCCAAATGGGCGGCCTCAGCCGGGTTCTAATTCTCAGCAGCAAAGAGTATCCGCTGTCACGTCTGCGCTTCCGGTTACCGAGTCGGCGGCACTTCTATCAAGATCGGGGATCAACCGATCTCCCTGAAAAAAAAAAAACGATACGCATCTTGGGCGTTCTAGTTGATCGACACTTTACCATCACGCAACACTTCCACAGCGTTAAGGATAGTTGCAAGACCCGCATAAACCTAATCAAAACAATCTCCATGCCGCACCGCACCAACAACCGAGCTATCCGGCTGCATGTAACCAAAGCAGTTATTGACAACCGTCTACTCTACGGTCCGGAGCTCACCGCAATGGCCAAGGACAAACTGTTGCAAGTCCTTGCACCGGTTTACAACGGCTACATCCAGGTAGTTTCAGGTATCCTGCTCTCGACGCCGGCCGACACAGCCTGTACTTGGCAAAAACATCTGGTAACGAATGGATCTATCTCCTCGAGGAGGGAAACAGAATCCTCCGTACAAGCAGCTGATATCGAAGGAAGCTGGAAGCCAGAAGCAATCGTTTAATTCAATCTCAGTAGTCCTGCTTATTTGACTTTTCATTTTTCTGTTCCATTATCAAACTGTCCTTCAAATAAACCACACGTTAATTGGCAGAGCTCCGCTTTCACTCATAAAAGGTTATGGGCACCTCTACGAGAGAAGCTGTGTGCGGTATTCCGCAGTTCAACGGTGGTTCCGGATTTCAGCACTGGAGCTTCAGAGTCAAGATGTTCCTGGATTCCGTGGGAGTATTGAACACTTTAACTGAAGAAGCACCGGCAGTAGCAGCTGAAAAGGTAAAATTTGAAGGGGCAGACCGGAAGGCCAAGTCATATATTGTCAGTTTCCTGGCGAATGAATGTTTGGCATTCGTCTGCGAGAAGAAGACGGTCAAGGACATGTGGAAGGCGCTCGAGAACACCTTTGCCAAGCGGTCAATTAGCACTCAAAACCTGGTGAGAAAGCATTTGAACCGTCTGAAGTTGAGAGATGGTGATTCGATGAGAGCGCACTTGCTGGTGTTCAAAGACTCGCTCCGGCAGCTGAAAACCGCTGGGGCGAAGGTCGAGGAAGCTGATTTGGTCATTTCGCTGTTCCAGGCTCTACCGGATGCGTATGACCCCTTGGTGACGACCTTGGAAAACATTCCTGAGGAAGAGTTGAGTTTGGAGATCGTGAAGCAACGGTTATTGGCGGAAGAGCTGAAAAGAACCGAACGTCATGAAGACTCAGGTGAGATCAAGGCTGCGGCATTTTCTGGAGAGAAGAAACGCAAGTCTACGGAGTTCCAAGGCAAGTGTCACAATTGTGGAAAACGTGGCCATTTGAAGAAGGACTGTCGGCAGAAAAGCGGTGAAGCTAATTCGGCAGATCAACGGAATGCAGTAAGTTTCATTGCAAGTCGCAAGATTGAAAAGGCACCAAGTGGAAAGGTGGTATTCAAGCTCGATTCGGGTTCAAGCGACCACCTAGTGAATGATTTGGCAGTATTCTCGGAAATTCGCAAGATGAAGCAACCCATTGTGATTCAAATAGCGAAGGACGGAAAAACACTGGTATCAAAAACGGTTGGAACCATCGTCAGAAGCAGTAACAAGAACACGTCGTTGAACATGAAGGATGTTCTCTATGTCCCCGAGCTTCGCGACAACCTGATGTCCGTTAAAAAGTTGGTGAAGGCAGGCGTTGTGGTAATTTTCTGCGGTTCCGTTGCGGTTCTCAAGAAAAACAACGAAGTCATTGCTACTGCGAACTTGAGAGGTAACCTGTACGAGATTGAGGTAGACATTTCAGTGTCTTCGGCAAATATGTGTCAAACTGAAGCGACCAATTTGTGGCACCGAAGGCTTGGACACCTGAGTCAACAGGGAGTGAAAGCGATCATAAGTAACAATCTTGTGGATGGTGCTGATTTCAGAGCAGACAAGCTGGCGTTCTGTGATGCGTGCGTGCAAGGGAAACAATGTCGTGAACCATTCAACGGCACACGCCCGAGAGCAACAAGGCCGTTGAAAAGAATTCATTCGGACGTATGCGGACCAATCGAACCTACTGCGTGGGATGGTTCGAAATATTTTGTTTCCTTCATTGACGACCATACCCATTTTGCAATGTTGTTGCTGATGAAGAGGAAATCGGAGGTGTTTGATCGATTCCGCGAATACGAAGCAATGGTAACGGCGCAATTCAACATCAAGATCTCGAAACTAACAATAGATCAAGGCCGTGAGTATCTTCCTAACAACCAAAAGCGTTTTTACTCACAGAAAGGTATCCAAATCGAACCAACCGTTGCTTACACGCCTCAACAAAACGGCGTTGCAGAGAGGTTCAACCGAACCATTGTTGAGAAGGTCCACACGATGTTAATCGATTCTCAAGTCCCGAAAAAGATGTGGTCAGAAGCTGTCATTACTGCCGTGTACCTGGTGAACAGAAGTCCTACTGTAGCACTGCCGAGAAGTATTTTTTTTTTACAGGGGGGAATCTGCTCACAGACACCTGAGAAGGAACTCAGGGTGTGGGGATGGGAGAATTTCACCTTGACCTTCCCGGAACCGCCCGAAGGCATTACTTCGTGGGAGGGGCCGCTGTAGCGCTATGGCGCCTCTCTAGCAATACTCTAACGATCTAGTCGGGCAGTAGGTAGCTGCTGCTCGGCTCGCCACTGTCGTTGTAATACCGAAACTATGTGGGTGACCGCAGTCACCACCGCGCTCCAGTTCTCGGTGGTACCACACATCCTAGGAACGATGTTATCCGCTCCGCATATCGCTAGCATAGCGCTCGATACTGGCTCGAAACGTGGACAGGCGAACACAACATGTTCGGTGGTCTCCTCGAGACCAGCACACGTGGGGCAGATGGGAGTACTTACATGTCCGAACATATGCAGGTAGCTCCTAAAGCAGCCATGGCCTGACAGGAACTGTGTCAGGTGGAAGTTTACTTCCTCATGGCGCCTGTTGACCCAGCTTGATACGGAAGGCATCAAGTGGTAAGTCCACCTCCCCTTTGTGGAGTTTTCCCACTCCGATTGCCATCTCGCGGTCGACACAACTCGCACGTTATTGCGCACCCCTCGTACGGTCCTCGCGTCATAGCACACCACATCCTCCTTAATGATAAGGCTGATTGGCATCATCCCTGCTATGACACAGACGGCCTCTCTCGAGATAGTGCGGTATGCACATTAGCCTGTGAGTGCTCTCTAATTTCTGCTTGTGGCAGTCAATATCCAGTACCGCAGCCCACGCAGGGCAGCCGTATCTGAGGATAGATACTACGACCCCAGCGAGGAGCCTACGCTTACTGGCATTCACTGCCGAGCTGTTTGACATCATACGGGATAATGCCCCCACAGCCATAGACGCTCTCTTGCAGGCGTACTCGACGTTGCAGCCAAAGCTGAGCTTATCATCGAGCATAACCCCCAAGGGTTTCAGAGAGCGCACAGACCTAATTGTGCTTCCACCGACTGTCAACGTCGCATGCTGTACTGACATGCGATTGTTGACTACGACCACTTCCGTCTTGTGATGGGCGAGCTCCAGTTTCCTGGTCCTCATCCATTCCTCCACAAGCCTGACGCAGTGAGCCGCTGTCAGCTCTACCTCCTCGAGGGATTCCTCGCAGACTACCAGCGTGACATCGTCGGCAAAACTTACAATTTTCAAGCCTACCGGG